GAGTTTAAGGTCCTCCTCAGCTACTTAACAAGTGTAAGGTCAGCCCGTTCCAGAACAACAGAGGTGGGACATTGCCCAGTGCCTAACATGCCTGAATGTCCTGCTTCCTCCCCCATTGTTAAAAAAAAAAAAAAAAAAAACCAAGCAACTGCCTTCCACTGGTTTGTAAGGGCCCACTGATTTACAGGCCAGTGCTGAGAATCTCCTTGCCCTGGCTGCCAGCAGTACTGGGAATGGACAGGAGAGGGCGCCCGAGTCAGTTCCTCGGCTCTGGCAGCAGCCGGCTGACTCTGCCGGGATGTCCCAGCAGGCACGGAAGGCTGACAGTACAGCTGACTCACCAGTGTTTTTACCCCCTCAAGTTCATTGAAAACCAGCCAGTAAATCGTAACCAAGCCTGGAGCCACACCTCCTGCTGGCTAGACAGCAGGTCTGTTGGAAAACACCTCTAGGTGATTTGGTGGCCCTGTCTTCCTCTTCCTGACTTTTTTATTCAGACAGTTCTCCTGACCTCAGTAAGGCTGCTAGAACTCTGAGCACCATGCTTCCTATTTCTCTTCTTTTAATTGAAAAGTCTTCTTTTAGCTTTATGTTATGCATATGAGTGTTTTGCCTACATGTATGTTTGTGCCCCGCATGTGTGCCTGCTGCCTGACAGTTCAGAAGACGGTGTTGGATCCGGAACTGGAGTTACACGTTATACCGCCTTCTGAATGTGTCAGGAGAGACCCAGGGGTGCAGTTTAGTGATAAAGTGTGCTTCGGGCCCCAGTTCAATGCCCAGTACTGGGAAAGAAAAGTGACAAGAGGTGGCCAGGTGCCAGGCCAGGCTAAACTGTGTGAGGACTTGGATTAAAAGGGAGGGTATTTATTGGTGGCACGCCTTTAATCCCAGCGCTCGGGAGGCAGAGGCAGGTGGATCTCTGAGAGCCTGGTCTACAGAGTGAGTTCCAAGACAGGCTCCAAAGCTACAGAGAAACCCTGTCTCAGGGGGGAAAGGGGGAGGGTCTTGTTGTGAGGGAGGTAGAAGACACTTCTGAATGTGGAAAGCATTCTTTCAGAGCCCCACAGAGGCTACCATGCCATCCCCACTGCGGGGGAAAGAGGCCTGGCCCTTTGTTTGGGGGAGGGGAGGGTCATATTAGCTCAAGCAGTCTGAGGCAGTCTTCCTCAGCCTCCCAAGTGCTGGAATTTCAGACACAGCCAGCATGCCCTCTACTGTGGCCATTTTTAAGCCCCGGGGATGAAGAAATGGGCCCTGGGCAAGGGATGATGCATGGCTCAGCAGGGTCTCCTAGCCAGCGGGTCTGACTCCTTGGTGGCCTTAACCATAGTGCTCTTGGGCCCATCTCTGGCTCCATTCCTGCAGGCAGCTCTGCTATCTCCAATCAGATTGCTATAGTCCCTGCTTACTCTGGAATGAGCCAACACCCTGTGAGCCCTGCCCCTGCCTGCTGCTCCCATTTGCTAAGTGGGAGCAGGCAGTGCTGTTTGGAGCCCTGACCAGTCACAGCAAGTATCAGGTGTAGGACTGGAACCCAGGACCACAGCTCAAGCACAAGGAGCCCTTGGCCTCTCTGGCTCCAGAACTCCCAGGCATTGGCTCTGCTACACCCAGCTGGCCTGCGCAGTCTGGGTGGGGAGTGTAGGCAGAGGTCATTAGGAGGCACTAACTCCTGTGTGCAGTTCCTGTGTGTGCCTGCAGCTGTTAGGAGGAAGGCTGCAGGTCAGAGAGACAGGCCAGGCAGGGCATGTGCTGTGCACACCTGTGCTCTCGTCTCAGCCTCCAGAGGTGGAAGCAGGAAGCTGGGGAGGACCCCAGGGCCAGCCTCGGCTACCCAGGGCGTGCGTGTATCCACGTGTCTGTCTGTCTGTGTGCCTGATGGCGGTGGAGGCCAGAAGGCGCCTTGGGAACCTCTGGGACCGGAACTCAATGTGGACGCTGGGAATCCAGCTCAGGTCTTCTGGAGGGGCTCTTAACCACTGAGCCGTCTCTGCCTCTGCAGCCTCCTGTTTTCTTGAGGCAAGTTCTCACTGTGCACCCAAAACTGAACTCATGCTTGTGATGCTCCTGCATCATCCTCCCAAGCTGTGCCACCATGCCAGGCTCTACGGTGAGCTGAGCTAACTAGGGACATCTGGGGAGGGACAGCCAAGGCAGAGCCATATGGTAATGCCAACCAGTAAAGGCCACACTGCCCATTAGCTAGATAAACGATGCTCCATCTTTATTGTGTTCTGACTTTGTGAGTGAGGAATATCCCACAGAGAATTGAGTCCCCAAGGCAGCCTTGGTTGAAAAATAAGTACTTCTGGGTCCCAAGCTACAACCCTGGCGCTTAGTTAGTAATATTTTATTTTTCTGTATGTATATTCTATTTTTTTTGTAATTTAATTTTAGGGCTGGAGAGATGGCTCACAACCATCTAGAGTGGATTCTGATGCCTTCTTCTGCCATGCAGGCCTAACACTCATACATAAAAATACGTATAAATAAAATTTTTTAGGAAGAGTAAAAAGAAAAGATTTATTTTTATATTTTTACCTGGCAAGGGAGGTATCATGATCACAAAGGTGGCTTTCCCAGGGCGAGGCTTATCCGTCACACTCTGGATGTGCTGACCCTGCGATTTCCCCAGATGTGGGGAAACTTATGGTTGTGGGAGACTGTGTTCATGCTTTCCCCTGCAAAAAAAGATTTACTTTGGTTATGTGTATGATGTTTTGCCTGAACGGATGCTTGCAGTGGACCCTGTGGGACTGGACTAAGACAGGCCTGTGCTGCCTTGTGGGGGCGGAAAAGCCAGCCTGGGTTTCCGGGAAGAGAAGTGAATGAGAGCTCATAGCTGCTGGTCTGTAACTCACAGAGATCTGTGTGCTTTCCTGCGTGCGTGTGTCCATCCACATGCCATAGATATGCACACAGAGGTTAGAGAACATACCGTTTGGGTATTCAGGCTGGTTGGCAGTCACCTTCACATACTGTACCTACTGTCTTGCTGGCCCTGGCTGTGTGTTGTGATTGAGATATAAAATGCATGTGACACTAAGGGCAGGTCCAAAGTATCGTGAAGGCACAGTCCTGCAGGAGCCGTCAGGAGGCTTTCTGCCCCAGTTCAGTCCCAGCCTGGATTATACAATGAGCCCTGTCTCAACAATCTTTTCATTTTACATACCAATCCCAGTGCCTCCTCCTTCCCTCCCTTCCTCTTCCTCCCCACCTTTCCCCTGCCTCTCCCCTCCCCCACCCCATCCACTCTTCAGAGAGTGTGAACTCCCATGGGGAGGCAACAGAGTCTGACAACGTTGTCTTGAGGCCAAACCAAGGCCCTCAAACCGCTGGGTCCAGGCTGAGCAGGGTATGGCTCCATAGGGAACGGGCTCCAAAAGCCCGGGCATGCACTAGGGACAAATCCTGGACCCACTGCCAGTGCCCCATAGACTACCCAAGCCACACGACAGTTGCCCATGTTGAGAGGCCTAGTTGGGTCCTGCTGCAGGTTCCCCAGCTGTCAGTCTGGGGTCAGTGAGCTCCCGCTAGCTCGGGTCAGCTGATTTCCCCATCATGGTGTTGACCCCTTTGCTCATATTGTCACTCCAGAGGACCCAGGTCTAATTCCCAGCATCCACATGGTAGCTCACAGCTGTATGGTACTCCATTTCCAGGAGACCTGACACCCGTCCACAGACACTCATGCAGGCAAAACACCAATGAGCATAAAAAAGATAAATAAATAAATTCAGAGAGAAAGCAGAAAACAAGAAAGTAAAAAAGAAAAGGTCCACATAGTGAATTCCAGACCAGCCAGGGATACACAGTGAGACCCTGTGCCCCAAAATAAAATAAATAAATAAAAATTAAAAAAGAAGAAGAAGAAAACAGCCTAACAATAATAAAAACTAAAATGAAGTCAGGCATGGTGCTGCATGCCTATGTCCCACAGCTTGAGAGACTGAGGCAGGAGGATTAACACATTCGGGGCCAGCATAGCTCTACATGGTGAATTCCAGATGAGCCAGGCATATCGAGAGCGTCTCAAAAAGGAAAGGCTCTGCTGGAAGAGCATTCAGAACGGAGCTAGCCTGGGCTCCCCCTCCTCCTCCCACTTGATGGGCCGGTGATGCTGGGGGTGAAGGCGGCTCCTGATCTCCAGTGAGGAGAGAGCGGTGCCCCAGGAGTGGGCGCTCAGAGGGTCCTTGGTGTGGGGCCTTTCTGTGGGGCCCCCACCAGCCCCGCTGCCACCCTCCTCCTCACAGGGGAAGTGGGCGGTGGTGTCAGGGAGGAGGACAGCAAGCCACTCTGCTGACCTGAAGAGCTGCAGAGGGAGCTAGGTGTAGCGGCTGGACCTTACACCTGTGAGTGTGTGTGTGTGTGTGTGTGCGTGTGTGTGCACACACACACACATGTGACCCACTAGGGCATGGCCTCCACCTGTGACCTCTGCTCTCAGCAGGTTTCTTCTTGCTCTTTGGAACCTTGCTTTGCTTTAAGAGACATCCTGGAGCCAGGCCTGATCCTAGAGGACCAGGACTATACCCCAGCTACTCAGGAGGCAGAGGCAGGAGGGTCAGGAATTCAGGGCTACATCTGGGGGGAAACAGTGATTGGACATAATGCCCATGCCTGTCATCCAGCACTTGGGGAGTGCAAGCGCCAAGATCCGAAGTTGAAGGTCATCCTTGGCTACGTAGGGAGCTGAAGGTCAGTATGAGCTACTGAAGACCCTGTCTCAAACATATGTAGACGAAAGGAAGATGGGTAGCTCCGTGATCGCGGGTGTGTGTGGCAGGCATGAGGCCCGGGGTTCTCTTCTGAGTGCTGGGGAAAGGAAGCCACAGTGGAGGAGAGAGAAACCTTGTGTCGTTTCCCTGGGTGAAGCAAGGGCAGATCTTGCTTAAGGCAGCCCCCTACTCCCTCCTTGGTCTCTGACTCCAACTAGGATGAGAAACTGTGGGGGTGGGGTGGCGTTGGAGCACACCTGACCCCTGTCTTCCCCGCAGTGTACCACTGGGTGGAGATGCGGACCAAGATGCGCATCATGGGCTTCCGGGGCACAGCCATCAAGCCGCTGAACGAGGAGGCAGCGGCAGAGCTGGGAGCTGAGCTGCTGGGTGAGGCCACTATCTTCATTGTGGGCGGAGGCTGCCTGGTCCTGGAGTACTGGCGCCACCAGACCCAGCAGCGCAACAAGGAGGAGGAGCAGAAGGCAGCCTGGAACGCGCTGCAGGACGAGGTGGGCCGCCTGGCGCTAGCACTGGAGACACTACAGGCTCAGGCACAGGCCACGCCCTCTTTGAGCGCCCTGGAGGAGCTGCGTGCTGAGCTGCAGGAGGTGCGCGCTCAGGTCTGCAACGTGCACTCCACTGCCAAGTGCCATGCAGCGTCTTCCAAGAAATAGCCAGCGGCTGGGGCCTGGACTCGTATGTGGCCATGAGCCCCTGACAGGGCCTTCTCCCCACACCACCTGGCCTGGCCTGCCCTGGCCCAGCAGAAGCCACCAGGACGTTGAAGCAACTGTGACATGTGGTCCCAAACCACATGACACAGTCTGGGCATTTCCCCCAGGGAGCATCGCAGCGGAAGTGTTCAGAGTCCGGCCCGACGATGACTCGGAGTGCTCAGCCCCAACCAAGAACTTTGTTGAACTTTGAAGGGTTTGCCAACCTGTCTCCCCACTGCCCTGGCTAAGGCAAAAATGGAAGCCAGACCAGGTCAGGCAAGGTCAGCTGCCCAGCACTGGAGCGCCTTCTTCCTCAAGCCGGTGCAGACCTCAGGGCAGCGGAGCCTCTGCTCCCCACCCCTCAGCCTGTGGTGTCATCCCCAGGCCCTTCCTTGGTGGACTGTTCCTGGCTGGCTCTCATCTAGCCTGTCTCATGTCTCAGCTGCAGCCACACTTGCCTGTCCTCGGCGTCCTTGGACCTTGTTTCCAGTGACCTGCATCAACTCCTGTCGTTTTTCAGTGGCATTTCTCAGGCCAGTGGGTTAGCTCTCACCCCACACACATCTGTCTGCACCCTCCCCGCTCCTGGAGCCTGGGTCCCCCATCTGTGTGGGTCCCACTTCTTTGCCCACTCCCCAGACACGACATGTTCCTAGGACGCACGACAGAGTGGCCTGTGCTCCCACAGTTCCGGAAGGTAACAGTGGAGGGCAGGGCATTGGGGACCCCACTCCCTCTTGTGGCCTCAGGGGCTCCGAGTCTTCTGTCTCTTGGACACCTGTGTGAATACAGGCCCATTCTAAATCCCTTTTTAAATGGGGCCACTGGCAGGGCCCAGGGTTAGGGCGTGGCCTTATCTTGTGGCGTCTATTCAGCGTGGTACCCTCTGCCGTCCTAAGAGTGCAAGGCCCCACTGTGCTACTTGGCAGCCTCCACTTGGCTCCAGAAGGATTGGGGCTGCCGCAGACACTTTTGTGGCTGACAGTTCCTGATGTTGAGTCCCCAAATAAGGACAATCCCAGGGATATGCAAGTGGCGTGATTAATATGAGCCTCCAAACCGGGCCAGTATTCATCAGTAATAGAGAAAACTGGGTGTGGTGTCTCACACTTGGAATCCCAGCACTCAGAAAGTGAGTCCCATCGTGGGTCCCCAGACAGCCTGCTGGGTCACAGAGTGAAACCCTGTCTCGGGAAAAAAAGAAAAAAGAAAAAAAAAAAAAAAAGAAGAAGAAGAAAAGACAAAAACCTTGGAGAAGAGTCAGAAAAGTTTTTGACTCTAGTGGAAAGGGGCCAAGACTCATCCTATGAGCTCTTTCCCATATTGGGAAACTGAGGCCCAGGAGAAGGGATACTGAGGGACTTGGCCAAGATCCCACAGCTCAGGGGGGCACCAGCTACGTAGGGAGGAGAGGTCCAGATGGTTCTAGCTGCAAGGCAAGGAGATAGCCTGACCTCTTTCCAGAGACCAGAGGCCCTGGGTCTCTGTCCCTTATCAGGAGAGCCCCAGGCCACACCTGAGGTCTCTGAATACAGAGGATAGAGCCATTCCACCCGGCTCTTGTCCCGAGAGGTAAGCCTGGCAGGGCTGTTCCACGGAGGGGCGAAAATGGCCCAATCCCAGAATTCACCAGGCGGAAGACTTGCTTCTGAGACTGTCAATTCCTAGGAGAGGGAGAAATTGATGTCTTTAAATTCAGGAGTGGCTGAGTTTGGTGAGGACAGACATGGCTGCATGAGGGAGGACAGGATGGAGTCAGGGAAGCAGCCCAAAGCCCAATTGCCATGGTTACCCCTGAGCATCCGGTCTAGCACTAGCACTCAAAGCCCTGACACCAGGTCTGACCACCCTGCCCTGGGTCAGTCCGCAGCAGTTATGGCAAAGGCCAAGGCAGGTCAAGGCCCCGGGGGTCGGTCAGGTCAGTCATACTCCAGCAGAGCGACTAAACTGAAGCTCTTCCCTGAAGACTCACAGGGATGTTTTCTCAAGGTGAATGCCACCTTCAGGCCACCCAAGCATGAGAGTAGGCCTGAGGGCTACTCCTGACGGGGTGGAGGGAGCCCTCCTGATCCTGATGCGTCTGGACATGTGGGGGCCAGTGGGCAGCTTCACCCATGCTGGCAGTGCGGGAAGCAACTGTGATGGGTTGTGTGGTTCCAGAACCTTCTACAAGGCAGGAGGTCAGAGCAGCTTTCATGGCTCTGCTGTCTTACTCACTGCTGTGTTACTGTTTCCTGATGGGGAGAAGGGTGAGAATAAATGTATTAATGAGGCTGGTTGTCTTCAGGTTTGTTTGTGTGTGTCAAGTTTACTTGTGTGTGTTTTAATTGAAAACACATCCTATGGACTTAACAGAGGAAGTCATTTGCCACCCAGCCTGATGGCCTGAGTCAGATACAGGATTTGCATGATAGGAAAGAACCGACTCCCTCGGGTTGTCCTCTGACCTCTGACCTCCATATTCACATTGTAACACACTCACAACTGTAACACAGAATAAATAAATACATAAATAAAATGCAATGAACATTTTTTAAAGTCAGGTTGAGGGTGGCAAATGTCTGTAATCCCAGCGCTTGGCGGGCATGCTAAACAAGAAAGACTTCATGTTTAAAGGGGCTACGTAGAGAGATCCTGTCTAAACCAACCCAGGATTGCAGCTGCCATGGTGGCACATGCCTGAGTCTCAGCACTTGGGAAGCAGAGGCAGGAGAGTCAAGAATTCAAGGCCATTATCCTCCACAAGTGAGCCTGGAGCAGCCTGGGCTCTGTGACACTTTGTCTCAAAAACAAACCAAAAGCTTAATTTTAAAATCTATATGAGCTGCGCAGTGGTGGCGCACACCTTTAATCCCAGCACTTGGGTGGCAGAGGCAAGCGGGTCTCCAAGTTCAAGGCCTGCCTGGTCTACAGAGTGAGTGCCAGCACAGCCATAGCTACCCAGAGTAACCCTGTCTCGAAAGGGAAACGGAAAAAAAAAATCCATGCTAACCGGAAACGCTGCCCTCTGTGTATTCTGCCATCTGAGGAAGATTCCCGGAGTTGCCAACCCACTGTGTGCCGGGCCCTGTTCTTAGTCAGGCTGGGTTCGCAGCAGAGCCCTGGTCAGCTGCGGCCCAGTGGGGAACAATTGCATGGGTTCTCTGCTCCACCCTTGGCTATGCGGGCAGATGGGGCTGGACTGGGCCCAGACCCCTCCCTTCTGAGTGACTCTGGGCTTCAGGGTGTAGCAGACAGAGCCCCGTTCACACCCCTCACCCAGCCGGGACCAAGGCCAAGGGCACTGCCTGTCCATCCCTGGCAGGTCCTGCTGCCCCTGTGTTGGTTTTATTGTTGGACAAGCTCTTGTGTGCAGGGACCAAGATGTTGGAGAGCCACCCCAGAGGAGAATGGATCTAACTCACAAGCTCCAGCCGGTTCCCCTGGCCTCCAGGCCACCCCTTGGCTGGCCTCTGAGCAGTGTGGACAGACTGACAGGAAAAGCCTGCCTAGCAGCCGGGGTGCCATCACCTACCAACTGGACACATGTTCACTGAGCAGCTCCTGAGCCCAGATGGGCCAGGAACGTGACAAAGACCAGCTGATGTCACCATCTGATGTCACCAGCTGGCTCTCCAGTTGCAGGAGCAAAAGAGCTGATGCTGGGGGATGGCGTGGAGCGCGTGCTTCTTGCCCGGAGTCAGTCAGTCTCCAGCACTGCCATCCTAGCACTGCAGGTACATCAAGTTCAAGGTTGAGAGCTCCGTAGGGAGGCTCCCCTAAGAGCAAACTGCAGTCTTGACAGCCAGGCTGAGCCGGCTAGGCCCCTGAGCCACATCAGTCAATAAAAGTTTCTTGAAATACTCGTGCTCATTCATTTCCACATTGTCGCTGGCCACATTAGCAGAAAGCAGTTGCCCACTGGCCCTTCACAAAAGAGGTTGTCAAGGGCACACAAAGGCGGCCTCATCTCAGCAGAGCTGAATGCGGTCACACACCCAGCATTGGGAGGCACAGGCTGTCGGATCTCTGTGAGTTCCAGGACAGCCGGGGCTATGTAGAGAAACCCTGTCTCAAAACAAGACCAAAAAGTATAAAAAGAAAGAAAGAAGGAAACCCTCTGGGACAGGAGGTCATCCACAGGGTCTCCTCAGCCTGCCTCCACCCCACCAGTCACACAGCCCCTCCCCCTTTGGTTTTGTGTTCCCCCTCAGTCCCCACAGAAGCCACTACCAGTGACCGAGGAAGGAACTGAGTCTCCATCGAAACCCTTGACGAGGAAGAGTTTATGTAATCCATCCAGAACACATTGTGTAATAATTCTGTTCTCCCTGTTTGCAGGTTACAGTGTTGTGTAATTTGGGGCATGTGTATACGTGGAATGACATGGAATGTGATGTTGTATGTCATCTCGGGAATGACCCTCATCATCTGGCAGTACTTGCTGCCATGTCCTGTTTTGTGATAATCCAGGTCATAAAGAACTCTACTGAGCTGGAGGCATGGCTCTTGTTGCTCCTGCTGAGAAACCAAGTTCAATTCCCAGCACCGCACAGTGGCTCAGCCATTCCTAACTCCAGGACCAGGAGATTCAGTACTGCTTCCAGTCAAACGCATCTTCCTCTGTCCTGCCAGCCACCTCCAAATCGCCACATGGAGGCTTACTAATGAAAGCTCGGCTGATAGCTTAGCCTTGTTTTTAGTTAGCTCTTATAACTTAACCCATTTCTATAATCTGTGTTTTTACATGGCTGTGTTACCTTGACTTTGTAATGTCTGTGCTGCTTGCTCTGTGACCTGGTGTCTCGGACCTTTTCCTAGCATGCTCTGTACCTGGAAATACTGCCTAGCCTTTGGCCATTTAGCTTTTTTATTAAACCAATCAGAGTGACACATCTTCACACAGTGTAAAGGAATATTCCACAACACATCAACATATATAAGGAAAGAACTATATAAAGCCAGGTGTGGTGGCATGTGCCTTTAATCCCAAC